GCCTCCTGGGCTGGGCCAGGGGTGGGGGTGACCCTCCGAGGAGGACGGGGCCTGGGGCTTGGGAGATGCTCCGAAAACCTGGCCAGTACTGGCCAAAAGGCCCCGGTGGCCGCACGCAGCGGGGGGGGCAGCGAACGGGGGTCGTGCCAGGTCATTGCTCAGCCCCCTGCCCGCTCCCACGGGTGACCGAAGGCCCCGCTCAGCCGTGACCCTCAGGCTCCAGGCCTTTACTTGGAAGCAAAACGGAACCTGCCGAGCCAGCCGCAGAGCCCCAGCCCTAAGGGGCCGACACAGGCGCGCAGCGGAAGCTCCCAGACGCTGTCCAGGCCGCGGGCCTGCTGGTCACAGGGAAAGCGCCCAAAGCCTGGCTCTGCTGCCCAAGGGACAAACTAGGTCAGCATTCCCGCCTCCCTGAGGCATCCCAAGGGGCGCAACTCGCGGCTGTGCATTTGCAGACGTTCTGGGGTGGGGCTCGGGGGGGTCGGGGAGGGTGAAGCACCTGCCAGAGGTGCAGGTCGGGATCCCGGGGTCCTGGGGTCGAGCCTGGCTTCCGGGTCCCTGCTCGGCGGGAAGTGTGCTTCTCCCTCCGTCCGGCTCTGCGCTCTCGATCCCAAATGAAAGGGTGAAGTCTTTAAAAATAAAAATTAAATCCAAATGCCCCTCCGGCACTTCTTACGCACACTGCGAGGTGAGGTGATTGCTTTCCTGGCCTGCACAGGGCAGCGGCAGGTGAGACGCCACCGAGGAACCGGCGACATGGGATCCAGGGCGGGACGGCTGACACGGGAACCTGGACCCACCTGACCTGCCCCACCTGCAAGGGAGAGGGGGACCGGACTGGGAAGTGACTGGGCCGTGCTTCACAGGGATCCGGAACCTTCCAGAGCCGCGAGGCCCCTTGGGGCTGGAGAGGCCGCGCCCGCTGGTGGCCACCGGGCAGGTCCATGGATGGATCCGAGTTGAGCCGTCCTCACTGGCGTGGAGCACCAGCCGGCGGGGCTCCTAGCCGCGGTCCGGGTTCTCACGGGCCAGGAGGCCATGGAGCGACCAGGGGCTCCGGGGAAACTGTTCTGAGCCAACAAACCCTGTACCTCCAGAAGCTCAGTCTTCATTTTACAATTCCTATTTAAAATCTTTTCTTTTTTTTTTTTTTTTTAAAGCATCGCGACAAGATCTTTCTGCCAAACAAAGGTGCCATCTGCATGTTGAGAAACAGGACCGTCAGGGCGCTGCGGGGACACGGAGATGGGGGCCCATCCCCTCCGCTCCGCGGGGACCTCTGCACATGCCTGGAAGGGGCCCCGGGGTCGCCCGGCAAGGCCCACAGCCCGTCACCCGGCCGCGTGCACAGGAAGCAGCTCACCTCCAAGGCAACGAGGATAAGGTCTGTGTGACTCTTGGCCTTGGGCCTGGAAACCCTCCGAGGCTGTGCGGCTGTGGGGGGCTGCAGCCCCCGGCCCCCCAGGCTCCCTGCCTCACCCGCACACCGGGCCTCTCCCCCCGTCGAGCTGCCCTCCTCTTTCTCCTAACGGCATCTGTCCAGGTGATGATCGAAGGAACACCTGGCTGTGTCACCGCCCCCGGGATGTCCTCCACATGGGAGAGAATTCCAGGAGAAAAGCAGTCCAAGAAGAGGTCACGGGAGGGCACCCGTTAGGACCGAGCTGCCCGGCTGGGTTCCTTAGCTTTGTTGGGGGGACTTCCAAATGCAACCAGCTGGGAGCAGACTGGGGACCTGGGCGCCAGGTTTCAGAGACAGATCTGAAGGTCCTGCCGTCTGGGGGCTCCTGGCCCGCTCAGTGGGGAGATCATGCAGCTCTCGGTCTCCGGGTCATGAGTTCGAGTCCCACACTGGGTGTAGATGTTGTTTAAATTAAATAGAATTAGATCTAAAAAAGTTCCTGGTGTCCAGAGTGGGAGCTGCTGCTCAGACAGCGGGCGGCGGCCGTGGAGGATGCCCCCAAGGACAGACATCCCGGGCTGTGGCTCGAGCCCCAGTGTCCTTACCTGGTGGCTAGGACAGGTGCTCGCACTGAGGGCTCCGCAGCAGCACAGACAGGAGCCGGCAAGGGAGGCACATCTTTACCGCCCACCGCCCGCCTGGGCGTATTCCCTGACTGCCACCTAGTGGCCGCCTCGCCGCTGTCCCCTGCAGGCCTGTGTCCTAGCTCCCTGAGCCTCAGTCCCTCTCGGGGACAGCGGTGGATGCACCCCAAACACCTCCAGCTTCGAGTGTGGTCTCCTGGAGCAGCCACTTTGGGGGCCACTTGGGGGCATGAGTCATGGTGGGGCATGACCACCCCAGAGCCAGAGGTCCTCCAGGGGAGCCCGACGTCCTCCAGGGGAGCCCGAGGTGTTCCAGGAGAGCACGAGGTCCTCCAGGGGAGCAGGAGGTCCTCCAGGGGAGCGCGGGGTCCTCCAGAGGAGCGCGGGGTCCTCCAGGGGAGCATAGCGTCCTCCAGGGGAGCAGGAGGCCCTCCAGGGGAGCGCGTGGTCCTCCTGGAGAGCACAGGGTTCTCCAGTGGAGGGCAAGGTCCTTCAGGGGAGCACGAGGTCCCCCAGGGGAGCGCGAGGTCCTCCAGAGGAGCGCGAGGTCCTCCAGGGGAGCGTGGGGTCCTCCAGAGGAGCGCAAGGTCCTCCAGGGGAGCACAGAGTCCTCCAGAGGAACGCAAGGCCCTCCAGGGGAGCACGGGGTCCTCCAGGAGAGCGCGAGGTCCTCCAGGGGAGCACGAGGTCCTCCAGAGGAACGCAAGGTCCTCCAGGGGAGCGCGGGGGTCTTCCAGGGGAGTGCGGGGTACTCCAGGGGAACCTGAGGTGTTCCAGGAGAGCCTGAGGTTCTCCAGGAGAGCACAGGGTCCTCCAGGGGAGTGCAGGGTCCTCCAGGGGAGCACGGGGTCCTCCAGGAGAGCGCGAGGTCCTCCAGGGGAGCACGGGGTCCTCCAGAGGAACACAAGTTCCTCCAGGAAAGCTGGGGTGTGCTCCCCAGGTGCGGCCCCGCCCTGTGCGCAGGTGCAGCACCCAGCCTGCCTCAGCCTGCCTCGAGCCGGCATGGGGAGACCTGCCCTTCCAGGGGGGACCCTGCGGTCTGGGGTGGTGCCCAGGCTGGTCCCAGGTGGCGGGTCCGAGGCTGCAGTGGCGGAGATGCTCATGCGCTGGCCTCCGAGCCTGCTCCCCGAAGCACCTGAAGCACCTGACACGTGGGTGCACATTTGCACCAAGTCCACTATTTGGGGGCATCTGCTGCGATGGCAGGGGGTTCCTGGAGGCAGTCACTGTGACTTCAGGAAACCCGAGGCTTTGGGGGAGTTGGTGAGCTCTCCTCAGGGGAGCTCGGCTGTCCCTGGCCCCTTGAGGAGGGTGGGGCTTGGCGAGATGCTTCTGGGAGGCAGGGGCAGAGCCCGGTGCCAGACACGCAGGGGCAGCCTAGACCCAGCGGTGCTGAGCAGCGTTTGGGACATTGAGGAGCCAGTCGGGTCCAGGGGCTAATGTAAGGATGTGGTCAGTTTTTAAGAAGAAAGGTCGGCCTTCCTGTGGAGCGGTAATTTTTCTACCGGAGGTAGCTGCCAACCAACACAAATGACTAGATCTGCATTTACTCCTTCATTCATGGATTCAGCCAAAAAAAATATCGATTGAATGAATATCTACTTTGCGTCGATTGTGATTTTTATTTTATTTTATTTTATTTTGTATTTATTTTATTGATGAGAGGCACAGAGAGAGGCAGAGACCCAGGCAGAGGGAGAAGCAGGTGGGACTCGATCCCGAGCCCGGGGTCACGGCCTGAGGGGTCTGCAGCCAGAGAGGTAAGGGGACTCATGCTGGCATCAGGCCGGGCAGGGTGGGGGTGGGGCCTCCAGGCCGCTCCAGGCACCGGGAGGGGACCAGGCAGGCGCAGCAGGGTGGGGTGATCGGAGTAGAGGCGTCACCCCGTGCTCAGCAAGGAGGCCCAGGGCTTAGGTGAGACCCGGGGGAGAAGCCAGCACCCCAACAGCCGACTGCTTTCCCACCCTGTGTCTGCAGGAGCCCCCAGCTGTCGGCAGGGACGCACCCGGGGCCACGCAGTTCTCTGCAGGTCCACGGAGGCTGCGCTGGTCCACTTGGCTTCTGCCTCTGTAAGCAGGACACTGGGTGCCGGCGGCGAGGCCTGGGGAAGCTCAGGGAGGGGAAGCGGGGACAGGAGCCCTGTCTACCAGCTTCCAACAGCGCAGTCCCCTCCTGCAGGCGGGGGGCAGAGCCTGGGCCGGGTCAAGGGCTGGGAGGAGGGGGCCCTCGGGGAAGAGGCCAGTGATCGCCACGCACACGCAGGGTGACGTCCCTGAGGGCCAGGCACTGCGAGCCGGGAACCTGCAGCTGCCGCAGGGACGGGAAACGCCAAGGGGCCGGAGACTGGGTGACCAGACCCGGGAGGTGGAGGGGCTAAGGCGGCCACGGGGTTGGGGCGGGGGCGTGCCCCATGGGACCGGCCCGGCCTGACACTGCAGCCCCAGCCCTCTGTTGCCCCGAAGGCCTGGCTCAGGTGTGCTCTTAGCATCAACAGGACACACGCCAGCTCCCGAAGGCTTGTCTGCAAAACAGCGACAGCCGCCTCCTGGGACTCCACACCACACGGGAACACTTCGGGATCACGAGTTAGATAGGACATATTACTAAAGTCAAAGCTGGGGCCCCTAGGCGGCTCTGCCGGCGAAGCCTCTGCCTTGGGCTTAGGGTGTGACCCCAGGGTCCCAGGATCGAGTCCCGTGTCAGGCTCCCCGCAGGGAGCCTGCTTCTCCCTCTGCCTGGGTCTCTGCCCCTCTCTCTTTGTGTCTCTCATGAATAAATAAAATCTATAAATAAATAAATAAATAAATAAATAAATAAATAAATAAATAAAATCAATCTTAGAAAATAAATAAAAAGGAAGTATTTTCTGAGACCCAAGAGAGAATTGGAGACAGGTCACAGAGAAACAAAAACAAAATGTGAGGCCCCACCAAAAAAAAAGACATCACCAGAAATGCCGAAAACATAATTTTAATTAAATATTTTCTATTTCCAAACATTAAGCTCTTTTGATGGTCGTAAATCCTACTTCGGTTTGTCTCCATTCTCAATTCCCGTCTGTATAAATATAAATAGTATTTACTGATTCACATTTGACACAAGATTCCAGATGTGTTTAAATGGGAAAGCGAGGGGGGTGCAGTGGGAAGGGCCCCTGGCTGGGGTCGGGAGCTGCGGGCAGTCACCAGGGCCACCACGAACCCTGGAGGGGAGTCCCCCTTGCTGGGGGGCAGCGAGCGAGGACGCAAGGGGGCGGCTGAGCGGGCTCCCAGGACCAGGACACCCAGAGCGGTGGCGGCGTGAGCCCCGGTGGCTCCGCGGCCTGACAGGCCCCGCTGCCTTCCCGAAGGGCCGCTTGCCTCTGAGCCCACGGCACTTTCCCAGAGTGGCCCTGGTGGCCGGTGGGTCCTGTGTGCTTCTCAGGCAGTGCTTTGCAGGGGGCACGAGGGCTGCACCCCCGAGAGCGTTCCTCGTGGGAATGCAATGCTGCGACATCAGAGGGAAGTGGGTCAGCTTGGCCCGGGGCAGGGGCAAGCGCGCGGAGGACACCCAAGCATCCCCTGTGCGAATTCCAGACCAGAGCACGTCACGCCGAGATGCCCAGAATCTGAGCAGAGATCTTTGGGACAGAAGCTTAGCAGGTCGCGGCGAGCTGTGCACCGAGCTCCCCGGGGCTTCTTCTCCCCGAGGTGCCAAGGCCACAAACACGCTCCCATCCTGAGTGTCGTGGGACCGGTCGGTGCAACAGGGACGGGCGAGGCTGCGGCCGGCCCGGCGCGGCCACTCTGGGTTGGGGCGGAATCCACCCCACACCCTTGGATACCAGAGCGTGTTCCTATCTTTTGTCCTTTGCACACGTCCTTGCACACGCGACTCTGAGCCACATCTTCCCCTGCAGCGCCAAGTCCGATCCACGTGACCCTCGGGACCTACAAGCACATGAGCCCGAGAATCAACAGACGCAACGAAAACTCCAGGAATCCAGCAAACGCAGACCTTAGCTCCCCACGGAGGGAACGAAGGGCACAGGGCGGCCCCGTGCACAGCGGGGAAGAAGCAGCCCAGACGCCGGGCTCTGCCCCCAAGGGTGCGTACCCGGGCCTCGGTACCCGTTTTCCGCTTCTGGCCAGGCTGGCGCTTTTACCTTCACGCCCGAAGTCTCCACTTTCAAGCTAACTGGCAACGTCCTTCTGGATCGTTTCCTGAATCCTCTCCGCCAGCGCGCGAAGATGGGCTTTTCTGAGGCCTCTGATTAGGGTGTGATACGCGTCCCTCCTCCCGTGCACCTGGTACCAGTGACGCAGCAGCTGCACCTTCTGCTCCGCTGTGTCCTGCAGGTTGTCGTTCTTGATCTCGTCTATCTTGGCTTCGTTGATCCCGTTCTTCCGAACGAATTCCCTGACCTGTTTTATTTTCATTTGTTCAGCGATGCCGATGATGTATTTGCTCAGGTCGATGTCTGAAAGGCAGGGGACAGTCTCTGACAACGCGTCCTGCTGAATGTAATTGTCACCAATGAGAACTACGCGGATCCCTCTGCTCCTAGTGCTGGGGACACCAGTTAAGTCCCAGAAATGGGGAGCACTGGCCGGTGGTGGAGACACAAAGCCAGAAACCCGCTTGAGCCCCCAGCCCGACCCCTCCTGGGCCCCCAGTAATTTGCTCACAACAGGGCAAGACGTACGAGGGAAGAGGCCTGGACGAGATGCCTGCTGACGTTCTTATGATGTGCCGACCGGTGACCCAGAGACCGGGAGGCAGGCAACGACCCGGGGACCTTGTCTGTGACTCGCAGGCCAAGCAGCCCCGGGCAGAGCCCCGGACGCCGCGTCCCGCCCCTGAGCCTCAGGACCCTGTCCACTGCACCCGATTCACTTCTAACTATGAGCATTAGTTACACGGCGGACCCGTCAATAAGCACTCGGCGCCGAGCAGAAAGGCCTGTGAGCTCGAGGAAGGGCGGGAACACGTCCCGGAACCAGCGGCGTCAGTCTACCCCGAAGTCAGCCCATTACCTTCGAAGGAAGCGTCTCCATGCAATTACAGGACGGGAGCCTTACCTGCACAGTTTATTGGTATCACTTCCTGGGGGAGACAAAAAAAAAAAATGGAAAGAACATGATAAATAAGAATATATTTATAACAGTCTAAATCTGATTGTCTAATTCGTCCTTAACCCTGAAGGAAATACAGCCAGTAGCACGATGCACAGAATCAGCTAAACTGTGTCCTTAAAAAGGATTCTTTTCCCATTGAAATTTTTATTCTGCAAAGTTCCAGCTTTGCCAGAAACTAAGGTGTGTGAGCTTATCTTTTATGCAAAGAATCAAAGGGATTCACGGAATTTGCCGAGACGACTTTTCATACAGACTTGAGAAAATAACATAATGAACATAATTCTCAAATTTTCTTTTTTTTTTTTTTCAAATTTTCTCTATAGCAACTATTCTTTTTTTTTTTTTTTTTGACATGTCAAAACGGTTTAAGGTAGAGTAGTTCAAAGAGCCCTGGCCCCAAGCAGAAATCGTCGCTCATCGAGCGAACTGCTTTCTCTCCCAAACGTATCTTCCGAGATTTGAAACGCTTTGCTCTCACGCTGGAGAGAGAAGCAGCGACGCACGGTCCGCGGGGCCCGGGTGATGCGTGCGTCCCTGCGGTGACACCAGCACAGGACACAGGCTTGGCCCCATCCCGCCGCCAGCTCCCACGGCGTGTGTGTCTCGCACTCGGTTAATTCGTCCTTGTGTGAGCTGTGTGGCAGCCTCCTGTCAACCAGGCGCCGTCCCCCGCGTCCCGACCCAGGCCCACAAACTCTCGATAAATACAAATAAAAAGCCAAATGGCCGCTTTCTCTAGTTTCTTAAGGAAGTGGGTGTACGTTCCAACACCTACAGTAGGAGGGGACGGTGTGGGTCCCAGGGTGACATTCCCTTTTGTCCTGCGCCGTTTGAACAGCCCTGGAAGATCAAAGAAACTTCTATCAGGCTCCGGTCCCAGCCTTGGAGGAAGCCCCTAGGACACACCATCCCACCAAGGAGAGGGTGACGGGGAAGGACGGAGGCACCGGCTCTCCAGGCTCCCACCCCATGAGGCCAAACATTCTCGAGACATGTCACGTCCTAACTGAGCCGCCCCGTGAGCACACTGGCCTCGTCAGAATGACGTAGGGCACGGCCGCCGCTGCTGCCTTCACCAGGACGGACGTGGCAGGTGTGAGGCAGATGCGGGAGCCACAGGGCGTGGAACGTTGGATTCCGCGGCCTGGAATCCAAGTCATTAAAACTTGTCACCTCTCCGTGCTTTATGAGTGATTCCGAGGGACCTTCAATGGCGATCACGATCATGCCCAGGCGGGGCTCACCTGTTGGCTTTACTATAACCCTCGCGTTAACTCCATTGCCTTGGTGTCGTAAGTTAAGGGGCAGAAATAAATTAAAAAATCCCCCAAAAATAAAATAAAATAAAATAAAATAAAATAAAATAAAATAAAATAAAATAAAATAAAATAAAATAATAAATAAATAAATAAATAAATAAATAAATAAATAAATAAATACCCAAAGACTGTGGCGTTTGACCCAGGGATGGGGCACAGAGCACAGAGGTGTCGGGTGTCCCCTGCCTCTTTCCCAGGAAGATCCTGCCTCCCGTGGGGCCCTCGGTGAGCATGCAGGGATCACTTCTGATCCTCGGTCAACCCTTGTCCATAATGAGGATGGGACCTTCCACCCACTCCGAGCTCCAGGATAACTGCTCAAACACAGCAGCTGGCGGATGGTACCACCTAGTTCTCAGCACCTGGCAGGGGTGCGGTTAGGGCCGGTGCTTAACGTGAGAGCTACCTGCCCGGCAGGAGCCGTCTCATGGGAAGGACACGGAGGAATTCTGGTGAATTCTACTTCCCAAGTGATTTCAATGTGCGGTCTGAACAAAGTAAGCACTTACACCAGCACACGAGCGCAGACATCAGAATCGGGATGAGGACGCAAAACCACAGGTATCTGGAGCTGGATCCTGTAGGAGCCACATTGAAGAGCGAACGTGAGCACAGGAAACCCGGGAGACCGAGCGTGGGACTCCCAAAGAGTAAAATTTCTTCATATTTTTGACAGCAGGGATGAGAGAAAGGAGGACATAGTCATAAAGAGAAATCATGACCTTCTTTACATTTGGTGTCGCTGGTCGGTGTGCACCTCTCAAGGATTCCATGTTCACACCTAAAAAAACAACACACAAAGGAACAGGGATGTCTGGGTGGTGCGGCCGCTTGTGTCCCACTCTTGATTTTGGCTCAAGTCATGATCACTGGGTCACAGATCGAGCCCCACATCGGGGTCCCACACTCAGCTCGGAGGCTGTTGGGGTTCTCTCTCCCTCGGCCCCTGCCCCCCACCACGTGAACGTGCACATGTGCATACACCCCCCCCCACACACACACACTCTCAAAATGAATAAATGAAATTAAAAAAAAAAAAACAGAGGAAATTTTAAAAAGCCTGGGGGGTGGACTCCTTGACCACCTGCAAGGACACCACACTGTAAATCCAGGGCCATTTTAGTCATCTTTGCATCTCCGGCAAACATACCCCTCCCCCCGGGTATTGCTAGATTAGCATCTAAAGCTGGTACCAAAAAAAAAATTAAAAATAAATAAAAAAATAAAGCTGGTACAAATTCATAACATAATTTGGATGTTTGGACAAGAAATATCCTAGAGTGACTGTGCTTGTTGTTAAGATATCAAGAGTTAAAGGAAGGTATGAAAATATTGATAAATTGGAAAAAGGATGAAACAGACAAAGATTTAAAATTGGTAGTAAATGGGGCGCCTGGGGGGTTCAGCGGTGGAGCGTCTGCCTTCGGCCCAGGGCATGACCCCGGGGTCCCGGGATTGAGTCCCACGTCGGGGTCCCCGCAGGGAGCCTGCTTCTCCCTCTGCCTCTCTCTCTCTCTCTCTCATGAATAAATAAATAAAATCTTTAAAAAATAAAATAAAGTTGGGAGTAAAAAATTATTTAAAAAGTAATAAATTGGGAGTAAAATAAAAAATAAAATTGGGAGTAAAGCAATGTTCTTAAAGTCATAAACTGCAAAAAACTATTTCAAAACAGTCCCACTGAACAATATAATGACGGGTCGACAGCCCCGCCCTCGACCCTGCTCAGCAAGCCTACCCAGCCTGCGCTCAGGTGTCTCGTGGTGGGCAGGACGCGCAGGAGGAAACCCTCGGTATCTGAGCACGACGGTCAGACTGGCTCAGCCCTGCCCCAACTCCATGCGCCTGGCGAGTTACCTAATCCCTGTGAGCCTGTTTGCTCACTGGTGACAAGGAGTCAACATGACAACAAGGAGGTTCCGGTGATTGAGATTATGAGGGACTTAGAACTATTACTATAGCCGACCCTTGAACCACGTGGGGGTTGGGGCCCTGACCCTCCCCTCTGTCCCCACATAGTTGATGATCCTCAAGTAGCTGCTGACGCCCCCGAAGTGGAACCTCTAATACCCTACTGTCGGCCGGAAGCCTTACTGATGACACGAATGGTCGATCGACACATTTCATGTACTACATGCGTTTTATACTGTATTCTTACGATGAGTCAGCTAGGGAAAAGAACATTTTACTTAAAAATCAAAAGGAAGGGGCGCCTGGCAGCTCAGGCAGGTAAACATCTGACTCTTGCTTTTGGCTCAGGTCATGATTTTGGCCGGGAGATGGAGCCCTAAGGCTCTGTGCTGGGCGTGGAGCCTCCTTGGGCTTCTCGCTCCTTCTCCCTCTGCCCCTCCTCCCCGCCTATTTACACTCTCTCTCTGTCAAAAACATAACAAAATAAAATAAAATACATGATAAGGAAGAGAAAATACATTTACAGTGCTGCACTTATTGAAAGAAATCCACTTATAAGTGGACCTGCACAGTTCAAACCCATGTGGTTGAAGGGTCGACGTATTGTTATTATCGTTATTCTCATACATAAGTCCCTCCCCCACGGTCCCTACTCGTCCCACCATCATGAGGCCCTCCCAGACCTGGGGGCCTAGAGGTATTCAATAAACGTTTGGAGACTGGATGCTTGAACGAACCAGTAGTTGTCTAGTGGCTTGGAAGTGGAGCAAGACTAGAAGACAAATCCTTGACTCTCAGCCAGTGTTGCTTCCCCCCCCACCCCCCCTCCCAGGATGACATGGTCTGTCAAGGTACATCTAGCACCTTGATCAAAGAAAGATGAGGGATCCCTGGGTGGCGCAGTAGTTTAGCGCCTGCCTTTGGCCCAGGGCACGATCCTGGAGACCCGGGATCGAATCCCACATCAGGCTCCCGGTGCATGGAGCCTGCTTCTCCCTCTGCCTGTGTCTCTGCCTCTCTCTCTCTCTCTATCATAAATAAATAAAAATTAAAAAAAAAAAGAAAGATGAAAACTTACGTGCTACACGGGTTGCAGTGTTCGCACGGAGAGACATCACAGTAGAAGTTTGGTTTACATCTGCACTTGGTATTCCGGGTCTGAGTACAGTTTCTTTCCACTTCTAAGCCTAGAAAGCCAGTTTGCAGACTATTAGTTACAGCAGCTGATGAGCAAGGGCCGCGAGAGAAGATTTGCGATCTACCCTTACGTCAGCACACCTTCTGCAACACACAGGTAGCGTTCACCTGCAAAAGAGGCAACCCCAGGTGAAGCAGTTGAAATCACTGGGCAGGGTTTGAAGAGGACAGATGGACAGTCCAGCAACCAACATAGCCCCACTTTTGCTGGAAGGATTGCCCCGTTCCTGTACGGCCTGGCTACTTAGGGCATGGCTTGTGCACCCACCTTGGGGGGTGGGGTCGTGATCTCAGGGTCCTGGAATCGAGCCCCGTGTCATGCTTCCAGCTCGGGGGCGGGGGGGGGGGGAGTCTGCTTCTCCCTCTCCCTCTGCCCCTCCCCTACTCATGCTTGCTCGCTCTCTCTTGCAAATAAATACATAAAATCTTAAAAAAAAAAAAGGAAATGCAGAGTATCAGGCCCTAGTCAACACTTAGTGAGACCAATGCCAAAGCCCTTGCTTAGAGATTCTGATTTAATTGCTCTGAGGTGGGACCTAAATGTGAACATTTTTCATAGTGCCCTGTGTGATCCTAACATACAGCTAGGGTGGAGAAACATTGCTTTAGGGCCCAAAAAGGGACAAGAAAAGCTTTATGTCCTGGGATTTCTTGATATGAAATGAAACTGGGGAGTTTTTCTGTTACATCTGGATCCAGGCTCTCATGACAGATTGAGGCATCCATAAAAATTCCAGTCCTCAGTTAGAATTAATCAGGACAAAACAGATCTCCAAAGGGGAGGGAGCCTCCAGCCTCCCACCCACCTCTTGGATTCCTCTGTCCTTGTATCAGAAGGCTCCTGAGCTCTTGCCGGCTATACCAAGAACACAAATCAAGGCAGGAAAACAGAATTTACGCACCTGTTCACGAGGTTCTTATTTCATCATTCTGGGAAAATTGCCTAGATTTGATATGCAAATGTCTAGACTAGTGATTAGCTCGGTACCTGGCGCTGCTTCACTCCAGCCAGCTCCATCCTGCCCGCCCCTGTATGCCAACCCGGCACCAGAGTAGGTCCCAACCTCAAAACCTCAAAGTGCATTATACATGGCTCTACATGGAGTGGCACTACTGGCCTTTCTGATGGCTTTAAAGACACTTACCATGCTCTCCATCACAGATTCCACATCTCCTGCATTTAGGAGACAAATGCGTCTTGTCTGTGTACTCCTCCCCTTCTTGGCAGGGCACACAGTGTGATTTACCCGCATAAGACATGCAGTCACTTTCCTTCCGTGTGCCTGCCCAAGAGAAAAATGGAGGCAGCGTTGGAACACGAGGTGGACGTACAACAGCGTGGGAGATATGCAGGGGTGAGGAGGAGCGGGAGTCAGAGTCGTCAGACTAATGGTATAGAAACACAGTGGCGCTGGGGCGGTCATCATAAAAATCATGTCAACACACGGGAAATCTCCCAAGACGAAAGCCCAAAGAGTCACCCAACAACTGTGCCTACAGACAGCGGAGGATGAGCTACACTATTTTTAATGCACGGAATGACCACATGCACAGAAGCCTATAGCAACTTCCTTGCAAAGAGGGCAGAGGTTCACATCCATTCCTCTTTCTATTTTTTTTTTGCCATTAAGGCACAGAGTGTGTTTTGATGGGAAGGCATGAGCATACCTATAACAAAATTTGCTATGAGATTTGTTGTCTTAGTTCACACGATTATAAGTAATACTCACATTTGCTTTACTTTTCAAATAAAGCGAGTCATTGTATTGGTGTCAGGAAGCCTTGGATGACAATGCTTTATGCTGAAACTTCACTTATTTGGCAAGTGTCTATTAAATGCCTAGTGTGGGTCAGGCCCTGTCAGGAGCCAGAGATCCTGCAGGAAATATGACAAAGTCTAGGTCTCCGAGGGTTTCGCATTTCCAGGGAGGACACAGGCAATGCCCGGACCAATCTATGATGTCAAGTGGTGGTATGTGCCTTGGGGATTAGGGCCAGGAGACGGAGGGTGAAGAAGAAAGAGACAGAAAGCACGAAGGAAAATCTAAGAGGAAAGCATGGCTAGTGGCTCTGATTATTCTTGGTGTAACTAATTAAAAAGAATAGGCAGAGTCTAATCGGCCCCACACGTTTGCTCCTTCCTGGGCACACGTTGTTCTCAATAACCTCACAGCATTCTTTTTAAGAAAACAAAATACTACATAAGCAAATCATGAGATGGAGACAGGTGCGATATTGTGTAGTCAACAAAGAAAACAAAATGAATTCTGAAAACCCGGCACCAAATTCAAATACCATGCGTTGGGGCTGTGGAACATCACGGCAATGCCTGAGAGCGCTGAACCAAAGAACAATTTTGTCGAATTTTGCTGATTTGCCAGTGGTATTATCGTGGTTTCTAGACGAATTGGCCCCTTTAAAGAATTACCCTGCAGAACACGCCTAGCACAATGCCTACCACACGACTGTAAACACGGGGTTTTCTCTCCTCCAACGTACACAACCCAAATTTATCAAAATATCAAAAATGAGTGAATGTTTTGGGTTTCTTTAGTAAATTTGTTTTAGTTAGAGAAAGCGTGAGTGAGCGGGGTGGGGGCAGGAGAGAGACTCTCAAGCAGACTCCTCGCTGAGTGTGGAGCCCAGCGCGGGGCTCGATCTCACAACCCTGAGATCACGACCTGAGCCGAAATCAAGAGTTGCTGCTTCACCCACTGAGCCACCCAGGAGCTCCTACTGTCTTGAAAAATGAGATTTTAAAACACATTTGTTTCTAAAATAAAAAATAATAAAAAGTAAAAAAATAAAAATAAATAAATAAATAAATAAAATAAAATAAATAAAAAATAAAAATAAATATAAATATAAAGTTAAATTAAATAAAAAATAACAAAATATAAAAATAAATAAAAAATAAAATAAAATAAAAAATAATAAAAAATTAAAAATAAAAATAAATAAAAAATAAAATTAAATTAAAATTAAAAAATAATAAATAATAAAAAATAAAAAACATTTGTTTCTGAGCGTAATAGAACCTGGAAAGGTTAGGGGAGGGTAGGAGCAATTCCATGTCAACTCCCATGCGGGAGCGTCATGGTTATCTTGGTGCATCCACGCGGGGAACCTGTACACGTGGGAGTATACGCAGGTGTGCCACGTGTGCCGTGTGCCCCAGAATCCTTCTTATTGGGTAAGGTGGGTGATGAGCACTTATCGATCAAGTAATCAGAACTGTCGGTTCACCTAGGGTATCATCGAAAACCATACTGTGAATATTTTAATCAGCGAAATATAACTGAGTGATTATCGGCCAGCCTTGCAGCGAAGGAGAGAGTAATACGCATTCCAGATTCTTTCTCACATAGGTGACCTTCAAAAAGCCTCCTTCCTGTTTTTCTTTGTCTTCCCTCCTCCCTGCATCCTTCATTGTTTCCCTCTCTCCCTTCTTTCCTTGCTTCCTCTCTTTCTGATGGAAAAATCCCTTCCAGGTACCAATAATTTATACGAAAGGCTTTCAAGCGGTCTGTGATTTTTTTCCCCATTGATTCTGACCTCCTCTCATTCACCAACAACTCCGATAGCAGCTCATCCCGAATAAAATCCTCCAAACATGCAAATGAGTTTTCACAGAAGTAGGAATCTGTCTTTTCTCTGTATTTGTACAGCATCGGCTCATATAATAGTTCGTTAAATTACGTATTAATTCCACAACACCAACGAGCATAAAGACCTGGAAGCAGCTGGAAGAGTGACGAGCCTACAGCCCCACAAGAGGGAGCAGGAGCAGGAAGCGGGTTAGTGTGTGCCAAGCACCCCAGGGTGCTGGGGCGTGGAGCAGGGTCCGTGAATCCAGCAGGCAGGTGGGCCAGCGACCCCTTTGGGAGGCTCCGGGGAGCTCCCATCAGGGAGCGTCTGACTCCTGGTTTTGGCTCAGGTCGTGAGCTCAGGGCTGTGGGATTGAGCCCTGCGTTGGGCTCCACACTGGGCGTGGCACCTGCTCTGGATTCTCTCCCCACCCCAGAAAAGAAATTCCTTTGGGGAATTTATACATTGAGGCTACGTCAGAAAACATGACATAGTTGATGGAGACATTCCAACTCTTGAAGACTCCAATTCCCCCAAAACAATCCGTATCCCTGGGTATCACAATGGAACGTCATGCGTACATTTTCCTTGACTTCTGACTACTTTTGAATACGTGTCCCCCATAACCCTGCTGCATCAGTAGGCATGAACGGTTTCAAGTCTTGGGCCCACCTATCTGAATTTCTTTCTTAAAGGGTTCCAAGGACTTACATTCCAGTCGTGGTTTATGAGGGTTCTTATCTCAAAGGCAAACCCACCGGGGCTGAAGGCACGTCTTAAGTGAAAAGTTGTTAAAAATGCAAAATAAAAGAAAAGCAAACAGACACAAATCCTTGGCAGCAAGATGGACAAAGCATATTGATTTTGTTTGAACCTACATTTTAAGTTCTAAAAATATGAAGGAGGGCAGCCTGGGTGGCTCAGTGGTTAAGCGCCTGCCTTTGGCCCAGGGCATGACCCCGGGGTCCTGGGATCGAGTTCCCAGTCGGGCTCCCTGCTGGGAGCCTGCTTCTCCCTCTGCTTGCATCTCTGCCTCTCTCTCTCTCTCTCTCTGTGTGTCTCTCATGAATAAATGAATGAATGAATGAATGAATGAATGAATAAATAAAAATATGAAGGAGGATCCTAGCTCCTGGACAAATAGATGGTGCCTGGCAAGTTATAAGAAAGCCAGGGAGCTGTTCCGGATTCCTCTCCAGAGGAGAGTACACGTGAATAGGCTTAAGTATGAATGGGCTGGATGGCAAGGCCAAGCTTCCCTGAGGGTCATTAACAACTGGACGGGGGGCCTTGCAAGGGGGCTGGTAGGATCTCCGCACCCAGGCCCTGAGCCGTTGGGCTGCTGGGGGCCCCACAGCCTGCTGCCCACGGCCCCGCGGCAGCTCCCACGGGTCTTCCCCGGATGTCCCTGTCCCACTTCACAGCGCAGCCGAAATGCCGACGCCGCGAGCTGGTGCCAGCTCGGCTCCAGCTGCAGGAAAGGGCCGCTCGACGACACTTTGTGAAACGTCCCATCTGCTCCTGTTCGAAGGATTTCCGATCTGAGATTGGTTTGCATTTCAAACCGCTGGGGTTAAAAGACCGTTGGGTTTGCGCCCATTGCTCTTCTAGCTCGTCTAGTTTCAGCTGCAAAAAATGCAAATGCATTTTGCAGGCTCAGAGACCTCCTGATTGAGGGGAATTGCCAGATCCACCTCCTGAGGGCGGGCGGGGGTCCCTCGCTGTCAGAGATCCACCTCCTGAGGGTGGGGGTCCCTCGTTGTCCGAGCTCCAGCTGCGAGGATACATTTAATCAGTTCTGTTGTGAGAAGCTTGAAATTCCGACCGTCTTCTCTCGCCACTGAAAAGTGGAGCTAAAGAGAGAGATATTAAAAAAAAAAAGGGGGGGACGCCTGGGGGGCTCAGCGGTTGAGCGTCTGCCTTAGGCCCAGGGCGTGATCCTGGAGACCCAGGATGGAGTCCCGCGTTGGGCTCCCTGCATGGAGCCTACTTCTCCCTCTGCCTGTGTCTCTGCCTCTCTCTCTCTCTCTCTCATGAATAAATAAATACATAAAATATTTAAAAAAAAAAATAAAGAGAGAGAAAGCCTCTCCCTCCAGGGGCACCCATCACCTGTGAATGCCCTGTCCTCGCGTCCACGGCAGCCACGCAGGAAAGAGGTGAACAAACCCATTTCGGGAAGGTAATTTCCTAGTTGTTGTTTCTTTCCCCGGATAACGTCCTAACGCAGGAGGACCAAGCGCCAGAGGAGCAGCGACCCCTCCTGAGCCCGACGCTCAAGCTGCCTCGGGGGTCTGCGGACTCACCAGGAGGACATGCATCACAGCACAGGCTGTTCCCGTGAAGCGGGTCTTCCCAGCACCTGACGTCTCCCATGGTGACGTTCCTACCCGATCTCAACACGTTGTAGCTGAGGCCGGTCACTTGAGCCTTCACCCCCCTGGGCCACGGTCCAGCGATGGAGGCGAGCGTCTGCCGAGGAAAAGCAGGAGAGCTTCAGTGAGCGGGGCGAGGCCACCGGAGAGCAGGTGTAGGGTGGCACCTGCGGCTGCACCTGCGGCTGCACCTGCCGACGCCCACGGCCCCACGCGCCCAAGCACCCCAGGAAGAGCATTGCGGATGGGAGGGCCGGGCCCTGGGCTTCGAGGGGACCCTGGCTGCCACCCCCGCGTCGCTGTGGGCAGAGGCACCCGGACTCCCCAAGTCTCTGTTCCCTCATCTCTTTTTTTTTTTTTTAAAGATTTTTTTTTAAAATTTATTTACTCATGAGACACACAGAGAGAGAGAGAGAGAGAGGGGCGGGGGCAGAGACAGAGGCAGAGGGAGAAGCAGGCTCCACGCAGGGAGCCCGACGTGGGACTTGATCCCGGGTCTCCAGGGTCACGCCCTGGGCTGAAGGCGGCGCTAAACCGCTGAGCCACCTGGGCTGCCCTATTTTTTTTTTTATTTTTTTTTATTGGAGTTCAATTTGCCAACAGAGCATGACACCCAGTGCGCATCCCGCCAAGTGCCCCCCTCAGTGCCCGTCACCCTGTTCCCTCATCTCTAAAATGGAAACAGAAAAAAAAAATAAAATAAAATAAAATAAAATAAAGCGGAAACGGTCGCCTCCTCATGGGTACACTGGGATCATAAAAGCCCTGCAGCTCCGCGCAGAAGACGCAGGCGCCCAGGGCACCGCATGGTTATTATGTTGTTATTATCACTGTCATCACCATGAAGCTCTAGTGAGGAACAAGAGAACAAAGAAGGAAAAATCGAGAAAGTTCAAAACGACTTCAGGGAGGTCATGGAACCAGCTGATCCTCGACTGCGACCCACAAGTGGCCAGAGCGCGCTCCGTCTTGAAGGGTTATTATGAGGATAAAAAGTGATAATTTCTCCCAAACCCGGTGCTTGGGTTTTTATCTCTTCTTGTTTCATGATGTGACATGTTTTATCTCTTCCCATTTTATAAAGCGACCACAGAATACGCAATTGGGTTGCAAGCCTGTCTGGTTAACCAACCCCACAATGACTCAGCTGGGATTTTCTTCATGTTTTGCTCAGAAAAAAAGGTGAACTTCTTTCAGGGGGGAAACCAAGCTGTAGTCTATTTTGGGTCCCTTTCTTCCACAGATAAAAGCTTATCAGTCTAAGCGATACTGCGTCAGAATTATCTGAGTTATCGACTACAATTTCTTAGAAAAATGAGCCCTTTAAGACGTATGGAAGCATTTGGGGGCGGTCTCTGATGGGATTCTTCTCTCTGGTTTCCTAAATTGCGTTTGCTTTTTTTTTTTTTTTTTGGTCTAACCATAAACATAAATAATCTCTCGTTTTAGGTGGAATATGTAAAGTCTATTGTCAAACATCACAAATAATTTTAAGTATTAGTTCTGAGGATTTTTGTTAAGATCCTAGCTCATGGTTTTTATGGCACATATTATTTTTTCCCCTATTTTAAGGTACAGTAATAATACTAGCATCTTCCAAGTCGAGAGAACTAAATGTTCTTCATGTAGAAACCACTGCCACGGGCGCTCCTGCCTCTTCCCTCCTAGCCCTTCCCCCTCTGTCACTAAGGCCTGTATCCCCTTCAGGTCACAGGTGTCACCGGACCTCCGAGGACGGAGGGGCGAGGGAGATGTGGTTGCCTGCCTCTATTCCGGATGGATGTCTGTAAAAATGCATTCCTAGGGCCCCCGGGGGGCTCAGCAGTGGAGTGCCTGCCTTCGGCCCAGAGTGTGACCCCGGGGTCCCAGCATCGAATCCTGCATCAGGCTCCCTGAATGGAGCCTGCTTCTCCCTGTCTCTCTCTCTCTCTCTGTGTCTCTCATGAATAGATAAATAAAATCTTAAAAAAAAAAAAAAAAGCATTCCTAACATTCAGTCTTCCGAGAGGGAAAGCGATACCAAAGTATCAAGAAAATATGTCCTTGACCAGGGACACTGTCCAGCAAAAGGCAGAGCTAGGACTGGCCCGAGTCCCCCAGCAGCGTTCACGGTGCTCCTTCCCTGCACCCAAGGGACCAGAGGCCTGACCCCGGGCCTCAGCTTGCCCTCCTGTGCGTGAGCAACTGTGTGTACAGGACAAGCGAGCCCAGCGCCCCGGTCACAGGGACACTGCCGAGCACACTAGCTTCCCTGCCTCTTCGGTCCAACAGACATTTTTTGAGCATCTACTATGTGCCAGGTTCTGCAACTACAAGGCAAGAAACACACGGGCTGTAAGAGAAAGTGGGTATGAAGTCTCCAAAAGCAGATTTGCCCACGGGCAGGTTACCTGTAGTGCACTGATGGGGGTGGGGGGGTGGGGAGCAGTTACGCTTTATATCTGCACGACTCTTATTTTTTAAAACAAGTTTGCGGTGCTGGGGGCGGCTCAGTCGGTTCGGCGTCCGACTCTTGATTTCAGCTCAGGCCACGATGGCAGGTTCCTGGGGTTGAGCTCCAGGCTCCGGGCTCGGTGGGCGGCAGCAGGGCTGGGGTCTGCTTGGGATCCTCTCCCCCTCCCTCTGCTCTTCCCCTCACTTGTGCTCACATGCTTGTTCTCTCTCTCTCTCTAATAAATCTTTAAAAACACGTCTGAATCTATGACCTTTGTCCAAGGCATGACACGCAACTTGGAGCAAAAGATCTTTATCAGTATCAGTCTCTCTCTCGTGGTGACGGTTCCCCACTTCTTGCTTTATTTGTGGGTCATTCGATCATCCCATTAATATCAGCTCCTCTTCTAGATCAGAGAAGAATCGCCAATGCGTAGCAACTGCATCGGGTGTGCTAGGAAATAAAGACGTGATGGCATACTCTAATAAAATAAATTTGCTTAAAAAAAAAAAAATCTGGGCAGCCCCGGCGGCGCAGCAGTTTTAGCGTGGCCTTCAGCCGGGGGTTTGATCCTGGAGATCCGGGATCGAGTCCTATGTTAGGCTCCCTGCACGGAGCCTGCTTCTCCCACTGCCTGTCTTTCTCTCACTCTCTCTCTGTGTAATGAATAAATAAATAAAATCTTTTTTAAAAAATAAATAAAATAAATAAAATAAAATAAAAATAAAAATAAAAATCTGTCCATACCTGGAAGAGACCCGTTAGTCCTGTTTGCAACAGATAACGGAACATGAAGCCTCGGCACCCAAACTGAGTAGAAGCGACTCCTGCCTGGGGTCCGTGACCCCACTGCCACGAAGAGGGGACATAATAATGTTCCCCTCGTTCAACTCTGATGTCTCACCAGAAACTGAAGAAAATGGTACAGATTCAACTGCTGAAAAGCTCGGAAAGCTGGAACCCGATGCTGCGGGTGCGGCTCCTGTGACCCGGGGCCCCTCTCCTGCTTGGCACCCTGATTCCACCCCGGATTCCTGAGACACTATTAACTCCTGGTTTAGGTGACAAGTCAGATGTATACTCTCCCTCGTTTTGAGGTTTTTCATTGGAAACCAAAATCCAGCCAGCATTTGAGGGACGCGAAGCCCGGGGCAGAAACCTGGAAGACATGGGCATCACTGGCCGAGGGGCACCGACTTCAGCACCAACTCCTCTCACATCTGATCACATCCACTTCGCAGAGCTGAATTTCTGGAAACATTTCTTACTTAGTTCAGCATAAAAAAAAAACGACATTAAGTATGAAAAAGGAAGATGGCCTGAAGAGCACAGAGTGGCTGCTGCATGACGTGATGCAGCCAGTGCCCCACAGAGCTTGTGTTTGCTTTTCAATTGCTGCATTAACTCAAGTTTGCAGTATGCAAAGATTTAACCCAAACTGCTCAGGCAGGAACTGGGGCATTTTGACTCTGACAAAGCAGGAAACCCACAGAGAATGAAGTGATCTGAGTGCTCAAAACCCTTGTTTTCAGAAGAGCTGCAAAGGCCAGAAAATGGATGAAATGAAAGGTCTGATAAATGCGAATAAACAAAACAGAGGATAACCAGCTGGGGAAAAAAATGAGGAATAAGAATAGTTTTACAGGTCCCTCATCCTGGAGATGAAACAGGGAGAGCAACCCCGACTGTCCATTCTGCTGGGATGTTCGCTAATCCGTTAGTCGGATAATGAACCGAGCCGACGCCCCGCTGGGCGCCCCCCATGTGCCAGTCGGGCACCTGGGAACCAACCGTGGGCCAGAGCAAGGCGGCTCCCACTGTCCATGCAAGCTAGGCACGACAGGGTTCTCTGGGGAAACAGAAACAGGATGGGGGGGGCAGAGAGGAGGGGCAGGCAGGGCATGGCCAAATCCCGGCAGGACCCCAGGCTGCAGTCACGGGCGGGGGGTGCAGCTCACGTCCAGGGGCAGCCTCGCGGCCGAATTTCTTCCTCCTCCGGGGCCCACGGTCTGTGTGGTTGAGGGCTGGAGCGGCCCACCCGCATCGGGGACCCCACCTGCTTTACTCAGGGGCCACCCCCCGAAATGCCGTCTCACCAAGAAGCAACAGCAGCAGAAAACCAAGACCAAAACACCCTCACAAAGTCGTCCCAGGGAAGGAGTGAGCAGTGTCTGAGCTCTGGGGCCCAGTCACCGTGACACACGCAAGGAAGCACCAGGGAGATGCTCGGACACGCGCGGGGAGATGCATGGGGAGAGACGCGAGCGCCGGAGGCCTGCAGAGCGGCAAGCCGCTGGGATCGGGGTCCGAGATCGGGGTGCGGGATCGGGGTCTGGGGTGGTGGGAAGGCCCCGACAGACAGGGCATGTGCGCACAGCGGGGGAAGCCGCTGGGGAAGAGCTGCTGGGTGGCTTTCGGGAAAGGCTCTCCAGGCAGGTCACCCCCTGGGGACCCTGGAAGGCCATCAGGTCCTCGGCTAAGCTACAGAGACACAGAGATCACCATCCTGGGCCACGCAGGTCAGCAGCGTGGTGGCAGCAGGAGTCCCGGGGACGCTGGACGCCGCAGGGACAGAGGGAATGGCCCAGCCAGGAGGGACCCCGCGCTCCTGTTCAGCCTCGAGACAGGATTTCAACAAATGGACCGTCTGGAGTCTTTCGTCA